ATGGTCGGTAATATGGACCATTAAAGGGACAGAGATTATTTTATCCTCTTAAAATTTGGAATTGAACGGGGAGTGGTATTTGGGGAGCCTAACTTCTATGGGTATAAGGAGGCAGTTCATCCTCTTCACTTTGGAAGAATTAAAAAACGAAATTTTCGACCGGACCTTTTATGGTTCACATTGCCGGCGGAGGGTTATATAACTTCAAAAAATAATTATGTGTAACCGTTTGGGCCTCAGAGTTTTTGACAAAAGTTTTATCGAAAAGACCCAAGCGCTGGGATAGCGCTTGGCTTAGCTCAGGTAGATAAATGTTGACAATGAATAGCGCGATAACGCTTTTTTTATTCAATCAAAATTATCGAAAGTAATGCAAACCAGAAACAAAATATTATTAATTAATATTTTAATCATTAAAAATTATTAACGATTTGGAACCACAACACTCATATTACGCTATTATCTAGCTACTTATATTACCAGATATTTTCATTTGACATAAATTTTCTTATCGTAGTTGTTCTCGAGTTTGGAAGCTCGTCGGTGACCACCGTGGCAGACAACCTTGCCGTATAATAACAAGTAAAATTCATGCTGGAGATTTTTAATTTGGTTCAATTATAATCAATGTTATTCATCGTATATAAGTCGAAGTTAGAGACTATTTTCCTATTATCAATGTTTTACCTTCAAAGTAAGTGTGCACTTACAATAAATAGGAGATTTCTTCGCGCCCTCTTAAATGATTAATAATAAAATAAATTCAACAAGCGAAGTCGTAAAGGAAACGAACGTTAGTTAAATTTGGTTAAAGTCACGAACTTAGTTGCTAACCTAATACTACCGAAACAAGCAGCGGTAGGTAACATCAAGCGTTATTTTCGTCACATTCACAAGTCAGTTGCCGCGTCCCGTGAACAATCGCAACGAACGACGAAGACTATCACTGTTATCTCTCATCCGCGTGCAGAAACAACGTTGAATAATGAACGACAATTGCATAACGGTCGAGAGTCAGGGGATTTACCTGGGTCGGTTGCGTCAGGATGGGCAGCCTAGCGTTCAACCTTCTCCGAGATTCGCGGGATAAGGACCGATAGCAAATGATTCCGGCCACGCAGAGTATCAGAAAGACCATGAAGATAATCCCGATCCAGGATGAACCTTTTGGTTCTTGCACCGCGTCGTTGCAATAAGCAGACGAATAAAATGCTCCCGAATGATAGGGCCCGTAAGGACCGTAAGGGTTCAGTGGCGGATAAGGTGGTGGCGGTGGATAATATATGTACGGAGGATGATACGGAGGATGCTGTTGATGGAACCTAGCGTTGTCACCGTGGTGGTCTTCAGTAGAGGATCCTGTGCGAGGCGGAGATCGACAAGGCGAATTCGCGGCGCACATCTACGGCGCTGACGATTCAAATATCGTTTTCCTTTTACCGGACATTGGGGTGAAAGTCAGTTGACAATGACAGTTACACTTCTTCGTATCAATGGAACCATAATTTCAATGTATAACTGTTTTGGACAGTAGGTTAGGTGTCCTGATCAACAGGCAAATTTTGACTCGGATAATGTTCAGGGAGCTGTTTTGGAATTGCCGTTTGTGTTATACAGGGTGTGGATGTTGTAAAGAGTTATCGAAGTGTTTTTTTCAGGTGTGCAGGTGTAAGAAATGTTGTCATATGTCATGTTGTAGAAACGAGTCTTCATCCTCGGACCTTGAAAACTGTAGCTACGAATTAACGCTTAACCTTTTGCCTAGCTCTTTCGTAAATATTATAATTATTCTGGCTTTAATAATTTATTAGACACAAAGAAGAATTTTATGTTCATCTATGTCTATGTTAATTTTGAAATATGATAATTGATAACAAAATCATTATGTTTCGTTCGAAGTCAAGATAGTTAATGAGTGAAATATTAAAAATATAATAAAACGGCTCCAGTCATCAACTGATTCGTGTATGTAACCACTGCTCTGTATTCTTTAAACGTGTTCTGACCTTGTTAATTTCACATGATTTGCTGATTGAGTTTCTTCATTACAGTTTGTTCTCCTGCTAGAAACACTAAATAGTATTCTATTGGCTTTACGAATCAGAAGTATTTGACAATTAAATAAACGAGATGTATTTGCTTGAAGAAACGGCGAGCATGCACTTAATGTATGGTCTTGCTGAATATAATTTAGCTGAAGCAAGACGAGAATTCTACGATGTAGATTATCATTTTTATAATATGAAATCTGCGGTTGTTATTAAAGTCAATCAACGAGAAAAGACACACACTTATTTGATAGTTAAAATAGTTAATAAACGTAACTAAATGAAGTTAATAAATTTGTTAACATTCTATGTAGAAAAGTCATTATTGAAACACAAAAATGACTATAGATTTCAAACAAAATCAAATAGAATAGATGTTCTATGAATTATTATAATAATGTTCATATAAATTCTTTTCATTACTTTTGTATCCACTCTAAAAATGAGTCCCACATCTTATAGTACACCCTGTATATCGAAACTACTGATTGAAATGCAACTGTTGATTCGATTGTAAATTACTTCCTGTAATTCACTGTAATCTCAATTGCAAATTAGTGGCAATTAACGATTATAAAAAGTACTTTGCAATTGAATTAACTATTACATTTTAATCGTTGTTGGTAATGTGTAATGAAATTACCGTTTGCTCCATTCTGGTGCGTGCCTATATGGGTTTGGAATGTGTGTGAGAGCGGAGAGGATAATCGGATGATCTTCTCAATTGTAGTATTTCATTCAATTTAACAAATCTTCTAAACGACGCAATGAAAAAATGAAATTATAACGAGTTACTAAGTTCCTTAATATAATGTTGTAACTTATAACGTTAATTAACAATATCTGGAGGATTAACCTCATTTTCTTTATGTAAAATATAGGATTAGGATCGTTAAAAATATGTATTACAATCGTTACGTTAAACTATTATCCAGTTATTTATAATTATTAAAGTAGGAGAAAAATTCTGGGTATACTCTGTGTTCATGTTCATTCTGAAGTATAATAATTGATAACAGAAAAATAATATTTATGATTGTTGAATTTAACCCGTTGTCCTATGTTTTCTTTCATAAATGCGCTCGCTAAGATAACTTTATCCTTAATAATTTTCCAGAACATAAAGAAAAATTCCCTATTCATCTGTATTCTCCTTTACTTCAGACATAATAATTAATAGAAAAATAGTATTTAATTCGAACCCAAAATAATTAAGTGACATTTCAATTTTGTAACTTCCGTTTGAGAACAGCTTCACGAGTTTGACTTGATGTTATATAGCAAAGACGTTATTAGGGTAACACGTTATTATAAAGCAAGGGGTTAAAGGTTCGAATCGCGGCCGGTTTTCAAGTCTCCAAGCTCAGAGCTCATTTTTGCAACACCAATTGCACCTAAAAGAGACGTTTAGAAAAGCTGTTTTCGGTGATACACCTTGCATTTACAACTGTCAAACCTTTAAAGCAATAAAAGTGCACTGCAACCTTCATCCCCAACCGCTTTTATGTCCCGTCCTACAATTTCATCCATCGTAAAATTTGCTGGGAACGGTCACTGCCATTTTGTAATTCCAATACCTGCGCACTCTAAGGTTTACGATACCTCAACCGTTACAAAGAAACAGTAAGATTTTCTGCTGTTAATTAGAATTCCAAATTTCTGTGGCCATAAATAACTGAAGTGGAACGTGTCGCGTGAAAGGAACACAGGAATAACTAGAATCTTAAGAATGGGGAAAACTTCAGGTATTCATATTATACATTCAAATCACAACGTGAAAGGACAATAGTAGAAATTCTACAATTATGGAAGTTAGCGGAACAGGAAGAAATCTGTCTCGACGGGATCCTATTTATTGTAGGCAATCGAGAATAAAGAATCCATCCGGGTAGTAATTAATTAATATTTAATCAATAAAAGTGTATGGGAAATTAATTAATATTTAATCAAATTAAATATTTGATAAATCTAATTAATAATGTGAGAGTATAATTTTCTATCCACAATTCACTATACAAACCCCCTGTTAGTATACTTTAATTTTTGGAATTTTCATATGTAAAGTTAAAGACACATTTAATGTATTTTTTTAAGTTAAACATTTCTTAATTTGAATTAAAATTATTTAATTGTAAGGAATAGTATAAAATGAAATAAATTTAATATTTACTTTATTTAAATTAGAATTGATTAAACAAATTTGTTGTTGACTCCGGTTTGTATAGAATAGTCCATACAAGTATATAATTGCATTAAACATTCACAGTTCATTGAAAAAACCTTTAATTCTTTATAAAAGATGATTGAAATTTTTTAAATTGATTTCTTTGAAAACTCAGTTGCAATATAATTAACAGTATTATTAATATTACAATGTATTATATTGAAACCTTAAGCACTAAGAAAGAAGTTAATAATTGATAATAATTTAATATAACAAAATATCAACTTTCTTTACCTTCCCTGAGGTCTATAATTTTTTCCAAAATTCATTCCAATTAATTGTTAAAATTTATTTTTATTTAACGAAAGTGATAGCAAGATAAAAAAATACCAAGAAGGGTATCTGCTACAGTTACTGAACGACATAAAAAAACTTTTTAACCTCGTTGAGGTTTCTAGCAATGAGTGACCCCATTTTGTATATTAACCCTTTGAGGTCGTATTAATTTTATGTGCAAACGAAGTTCATGACTTACTATTAAATTTTACACCATACAGTAATATATCTTTATTTTACATAAATTATTTTAATAATAAATATTTTAATTTTTTAACTTTTATTTATGATATATAATTTTGTATTTTAATTTTTTTCATTGTAGACAACCAGGATGGTGAAAGTTCTGTCACGCATAGTTCGCCACAACCGCAAAGGGTTGATAAAAGAATTAATATTTGCATATTTTATTGATATTTACTACTCTAATTAAAATGTGGATGCTGACTTACTCTATGATTGAGATCAATGACATCTTCCTCGAGTGAGATATCGCTGTACATATCGTCCGCGGGATCACAGTTGGAGCCTCTGCCCGAGCTATTGAAACTGCCGCTTCGATATAGCTGGCTGTAATGACAGTAAAAATTGTTGGTTACATAATATCGCAACAGTGATCATTTATGAACGCTAAAATTTGCAACAAATTCCAAAGCATATTTCAGCGATTTTCAAAAACTTTGGAATGAAGTTTAATATTTCTGATAAATAGAAATTCAATGAACTTTTCGATTATTGTTAGGACAAAAGTAATTTTTTTTGGCGATTTTATAGGTTGTGGAAACGAAAAAGTAGAATACAATGCAATTACAATTAAAAATTATGAAATAAAGTTGAAATAAATTTTTAATTGTAAGTAGATACTAATATTAATAAAAATGTAGAATTATCTCTAAACATTGAGAAAAATTTCTAACAATTACTATTATTATATTATGTCTATAATTCACACAATTTTTACATTGTACCAAATATTACATTATTTTACAGTTACCAAACAGGCAGAAATATTTATTATTTTATTAATATTAGATATTCCAACGAATAAACCGTTATTCTTTTTTACTAATTCATAATATATTTTAAATACAACAAATTTTTAAATCTTTTTCCTTCTCATTTTACAATATCCTTCTTTTTGAAAATGCCGTTAAAAAATATTACAAATTAGTGGCCATAATTTTCTTGATCAAAGACTGTTTATGCAATGAAGTTGATGTGATGAACATGTCAATAAACACTTATGTGTCTAAGGATTCGTAACTTTTAAATGTTCGAATACTTTCGTTACTGGCTGTTTGATATGTCTTGTGCTTTCGTGTATTTCTTAATCAGCTTGGATATTTTCTGATACTCGTAAAAGCGTAAAAGGAAATGGGATGCTGTAGCGCGTGTGCAGGCAGCCGATGCCCACGCTTTAGAAAGTCCGCGGCGTTTCGTGTTTCATGAAAGGATCGACTTGAAAATTACCGGTCGAATAAGGATACCCTGTGAAATCTCATTCCACGAATTACGAATTCTTTGTCGCTGAGTTACGTCGCGGCTATTGTTAACCCGTGACGTCAATGTGTCGACTTGTATATCGAGGGAGAATTTTTAAAATTAATCTAGAATAAAATAGTGTTCCTGCTAACCCTTTGCACTAGAAACTATTTCATTAAAAATATTCGATTTTGTTAAATTCAATTATTCATCTTCCTTATCTTATTAAGAATATTTAAAAACAATATTCGACATTTTCCGATGACATATAGACGATGTATTTTTAAAGCTGACATAACATTAACACTAAAACTACTGAGCAGTTAAATTGACTTTGTGAAAATAGAAGTTTCTTACAGAAGCTCCAAGAGTGCATCTACTGAGATTTTTAATAATTTACACTTGAGTTTGAGTACTGATAAATCAGTGTCTTCAGTGATATCTCAGAGAATTATCTGTTATCTTTTCAATAGTCGTAAAAAGTAGAAATCAGGAATGGACCATTTGATCTGTCTGGTAATTCTAACGTCGATTCACATGTAAATTACGGAACAAAACTATTTTATTCGGCAATATTTCGTATAGCGACACATAATGCAAAATCGAATGTAAAATATTAAGTTTTATCATGCAAGATTTTTTAATCTCACGACTATTAGAGACCGTAATGCAAGGAGGGATACAAATGACATTGAAGGCGATTCAACTATGCAAATCAATTCAAACTTGAAGCCACTCGTGGTTCAACCAAGCTCGAACTTTAAGCTGCACTCAATCCTCTTTGTAGAAGTTCGAACGTTGCTCGAATATCGAGCAGCTTGCGCTAATTTCTGGCCTAAACTAATTAATCTTTTTCCCCGACCTAACTAAATTATAAGTTTTAAACGCGAGTTTGTGAAAAGAACGTGATGACGTAAGGAAGTGAATTTTATAATGTAAGTGTTAATATTATTGGAAGATCAATTAAAGTCATTGATGGAAGTCTTCGAACATCTTGTTAAAATGTATAATATAATTTATTATATTTTCTGTATTAATAGTTTAATAGCTTAGTATATATAATTTAACAATTTATTGTATTACAGTAGAATATTTATGATATATAATATAATTTCACTCCAGCATACCTTTTCCTATTGAAAAATTGTACAGAAAATTGAAAGTGTAATTCATTGTGCGATAAAAATTAAAAAACAAAAATTCGAGTAAAAATATATAAGAAACGCTATTAAAGGAAAGAACAGTATTTAGAATCATTTAAGTAAAGGCACGACATAGAGTTGTCTTCTTTTCATGGAAAAGAATGCTTTTTAAAGCTTTTCCATGTCCACAGATTCTGTATTTGATATCAGTGAATTTGAAATTGCTTTTTGATAAACTATCAGAACCAACTTAAATGTCATGGTATGTAGCTGATTCTTGACTGACTCTATATAAGTTTGAAAACGCGTAAAAAGTTCGTGCGGTTTTCTTGTTAGCAGTGAATTGAGATGTGATTTCAATTAGTATTTTACTAGATTAATGAATGAAATTGGTATTAGCAGCGAGTTACATTTATGCCGTTGGTATTGAATAAAATAAAATTATTTTATAAAAACGTTCTCTGTGTTTAAATTTTCGTTTACGAATTAGCACAAACTTTTTCCTAATATAATAGGTTGATACATATGAAACTAAACACGTATGATCATTTCAAATATTAAGTTTATCCGTTAATTATTAAATTAATTATATATTCCAATCTAATTATATTCGAAAAACATTAGATGATTGTATATTGTATATAGTTTGATCCTGAATATTTCAATGCCTACTCTACTGTATCAACTGAGAGTCTTAGAAAAAATTTCAATCTTAATATCAACAGTGTAAATAATATTCACTTCTTTTCAGTTGAAATCAACTACTTTTCCATTTATCATTAATATTCAATTATTAAGGTACACATAGATTTATAATGAACTTCTCTTTCTTTTAAGAAATGAATAACAATTAAGAAAGTCTTGTGAACATAGTTGCCAGAGAAATCATATTATTAAATATAATTATACTATTGGTACGTCATGTTATTATGAATAAACATTTTTTTAATTTATTTTACGATAATGTACAATGTAAGTCTTTTCATGCTGAATAACGAACAGACCACGGATTTCTTTTGTTTATGCCGTATAACTTAATCAACTCTATAAATATTAAAATATATTCATTTTAAATCAAAATAGAAATTTTCATAAATATACACTGTGTAATAATTAATAAAGATAATTTCACTTTTCACGGATACGTTTGTCTCTTATTGTATGTATATCGTTTTCATTTCTAATGCTCTCTAGACGACACGGTACAAGAATTGCTAATTATAATTTACGAGAAGTTTCACCACGTCTTAATGAATATTATTTTAAAAAAATACTATCTTGCGTAACGTTTCATACCTTATGAATACTGTTAGTGTTAATGAAGTCAAACAAACGATGATTCATTCTTACCTTGCTAATGCATTGGTACTAAGCCTCTTCCTTCCAGAACTGAAACTGAAATATTATGATGATGAAAAACCCAATCAACTAGTGCATGATAAAATGTATATAAAAATCATTACGTTAAAGTTACAATAATACGTAGATTTCGTATGTAATATACAGGACGAATCATAACAAATAAATATCTTTTAACTGAAATAAAGTATTAAAAAAACTGTGTGTTGGAACTTTTGTAATCATGAACAGATTCTTTATTGTTAACCCTTTGCGCTCGATTTATTTTCAATGCCGTTGGGTGTAAACTTATTTTTAGGGAAATGAATTATCGAAAGATTTCGATACATAATTTAATTTTTATGGAAACAGTTTGTAAAGGTTTAAAAAGTTCTCATCTGCAGAGGGTTAACGATAAGAGATACTCACATATGTATATATGTGCTTGTAACAGTTTACGTGACGCCCTTGCACATGAAACTTATACTTTCTATGAGCACAACAGGTGTTCTAATGAACACGAACGGAAACACGAACTAGAACAGTGGTTCTCACAATCAGTTAATTGCATTCGATTTAAAAATCTCGATTAAATAATAATAAACAACAAAAGTAATATTTCAATAAGCTCGTTTATTGTAATACATACACTAAACTAAATTAAATGCTTGATTATTAGAAAATATTAAAATTTTACTATGTACGTAAAGGAAAGATGAACGTTTTATAAATTGTTCAATTTACATTTGAACCCATGAATAAATGAACTGGAAAACAATATATAATTTTATTAAGAAACTAAAACTGGGCTGTCGCGTTCTTTTATATAATTTTTTTACAGTAAGCCAATCGTGAACCTTTTCTTACATGACATTTTAATCTTATTCTTAACTGCAGAAAACACGATGAAATTTATGTGAACTTCTTTAATCCCACAGCCCTATGATTTCTTTCTCAACACTGATCGATACGACTATTTTGTTGTTAATAATTGGAAAAAGAGATAAATTCTAGACATATTCTGTGTTTATGTTTGCTTTTAAGTATAACAGAAGAATAATATTTACTTTGAATTCGAATAAATTGAGTAGTATTTATGGTTGTTAAATCGTGTTGAAAATCTTCATCACGAGTCCCATACGTTATAAGGCAAGGGCACTCTGTATATGTCCACATGATTTCAATTCTTTAAAAAGTTAGAAAATTTAAAGAAATGATAATTAAATAGTAAAAAGGAGAAGACAATTTTTATATCTATAAAAATGGATTTCTGACAATTAGTTTCGATTCTGACAACATGGGTCTATGAGACGGTTGAGAACCACTAAGCCGAGGCACATGCCGCACGGCATTTGCTCCGGAAGAGTCGCTTCTCATCTGCCAAAGGCGTAAATGTCGCAACTGGCGTCGAACCAAATTTAGATTTCTATAACTGATACGAACAGATGAAGAAAATAGATGATGGTCGAAATTTATTTTACAAGCAGAAGTTTAGCCAAGAAAAGATCACTGTCATTATCAAAGATGATCAAATAACAGGGTGATGTCACCTCCACAAGGACATGCTGTTCTTTATAGGCGATATTGATTATGAAGTACATACAAGGTGACCTAAACCATATCTATATCTAATTCGTAGTATTTTGAGATTAATAATAATGTTAATTAAATTGAAATTATTTTGTGAAGATAATTCATAATTTGAATCTCTTTAGTTTAAAAATCTGTATAAAATCGAGATTTTCTTCATTTTCTTCCGTTCTCTTATAAAAACGTTTACAACTCGAAATATAAATTGCAGCTAACTTGAATTATTTGTTACACGTTTGCTATGTATTTTACTACGTATCTTACCTCTACAACTCGAGTCCGGAATAAATCCAACTTTTGCACGTCAAACCTTCGGAGCTCGCAACCAGATATGTGTCAATCGATCCAATAGAATCACTGACTTTGCAATCGATAATTTAACTCTAATAATACATACATACGTTTTGGCCATAAGGGAAACTTATTGTGAAAGGCTAAAGGAATAATTTAAGGAACAATCCTCTTGTTTTCTATTACTTTCTCCTTGAGATTATAAACTCTAATAATGTTCCTTGTAAAGTCTGTGAAAATAATTGAATAAAATGAATTCTAATGTTTTGTAATGCATTATTCCATTCAATTCTAATGTATGGCTTCGATAGAGGACCGCGAAGGGTTAAACTCATTTCGTTCACGGTGCTTATCAGAAATCACTTCACGCCCACTTGCGAATGTTTTGCACCACAGAATCTGGTCATACATAATTTTTTGTCAGAGAAACTCGGATGACAATACGCATCTACAACTTGAGTGCACTTTTTACGTGACGCTTCGAACAGTTTGTGAAACGTACTGCGTGTTAACAATGTTTTATCGGTGCAGTCAGCTAGCGGTAACTATGTACATAAGTAAAATATATCTCTTTTCAAACGGAAGTTAGAATGGAAATACAACTTACTTATCGATTGGCTCAACTGATACAATAGGAAATATCTTAACACACTGTTGACCGGTCACGAGTTAATTCGTATTTGCACTTACATTAGCCATTTCTACGTTTGAAGCGCAGCACAATATAGAATATTGCAAAAGCAAAATATTCGCAGTTGTATGAAAGATGCATCCAAAGATATATTTCAATTATTATGTGTAAATAAAGTATATTGAAGTTTACTTAGATTGTTTCACTTTTATATTTAATTGCGAAATAATAACCGGTAACATGGGATAGTTTCTGCATAAAATTGCTGGTCAACAATCTGTTAACACTTACAATTAGACAACCGAATGGGGAGATTTTCCACTTTTCCCTTAGCAACACGTTGCCATTTATTTTGTTGGTTTTTTTCTTTTGTTATTTAGTAAGCCTTTAACTGGGAATATATACAATTCATTAATTACCTTTCTTTCTTTTATAAAACATATTTTTTAATCAAATCTGTTGAATCAATTCTATTAAAGTTAATGAAGAAGGTTATAGTTCTCTTTTTTAGCAGTTGCCTAAGTGTCAATGGTATTTTCTGGATTAGATTGAAACATTTATCTCATCTCCTTAAATTTTTCTATCTGTATGCTAGTAGATAAGAATGTGTCCCCGAAAGGATCTTACATAATTTTAAAGGTTAATACAGATTTGAAAGAATTCTACTGTTACTAACGCTAGAACTACCAGGCAATTAATAAGATTAATATATAATCCTTATAAAAATTGTAACAATAGATTTTTTTCAGTTTCTTCATATATTTATTATAGTATTCAAGTGTTTATTTTCTAAAATCATTTGGGATATTTAACACTTTTCAGATATCAATAATTGAGAAATAAGAAAACTGAAATCCGTTATTTTTACGGACACGGTAGTTCCAGTGTTAAATATAGTTACTATATTTATATCACTCTTTATTTTTTGTTCATAGCGTATAAATGTAAACCTTCCTATGCCACAAAGGAATATTAAATGCAATAACGAACATAACTGTTGGGATAAATTTTATATATTAGATCAACATGTTCGACTTAAAATTTTAATGGCCGATAATTTCCTCCGAAAATTATTCTTTGAACTTTGATTTACATACTTTATTTACATATGACATTTTAAAATGATTAAAACAATTTAATCTGACGAATACAATATAAAACGCTTTTATAAAAATCTATGTTGCTTTCAGATAAAAATTAACAATATGCAAATATAACTTAATTCGTTAACGGACTGGTTCGTGGAAATATGAGTAAACACGTAACCAGTTAGCAAGTTGCTAATAATTGTATTTACTAAATAAATTGTATTTACTATGATAACATTGAGTTATTTTTATATACTCAATAATTACTTTTTATGTGCTTGTGTCATCTTGTGCAAGCATTAACACTGACGCACGAATATCATAGTATTTTGCAAACATCTCAGATTCACTGCGACTCAATAAGGAATTTTTGGGGCCGCGATCTCCGTGGAGTTAAAATTAGTCATCGGAATAACTAGTAGCAACTCGAATGATCTTCGTTTGAGTCATCAACCAGTCCACCTTTAGCCAGACATTCCGAAATGTACATAAGATAGTTGAAACTGTTCAGAATAGACAATAGATAGAAGAAATAAAGAATAAGAAATAGTAATACTAATAATAGTAATAAGTAACATGTGATTATTACATTTTTTATTCTTATCATTAGTTTCCTTTACAAAAGATACTGTAGTAATCAAAAAGTTTTAGTAATCACTAAGAATTATTAATTTCTAGAAGTGCTCTTTAATTATGTAACCTCATTCGTATGGAACAGAAGAATTTATAAAAATTACCCAGTTTCTTAATATATTAACACATTGACTGTCATGAAAACTTCGAGTATATTGTATAGTAATACACATTCTCTCATAACAAGAGCAAATAGCATTAAAAATAATTATTAATGATTTGGTATCACGGTACTCAAATTACGCTATCGTCTAGCTACTCACGTTATTAAATATTTTTATTCGACATCAATTTTCTTAGTGTAATCGTATTCAATACGGTTTCAAATGCAATTTCGAATGCCGCAGTAATGGTGACTTCGAGCTTCGATATCTAAAATCGAAAACTGCAAATAAATAATTTAATGATTCAACTAGCGAGAGACTATTATATAGTTTTTTTCTTTTAGTATTTAAAAGTTCGACGCATAATTGAGTTTTTTATGAGAAGAAATGTTAGAAGTTTAAGACAATCTCGTCCACAAAGAGTTAATAGATTATTGTCGACCGTTAAGGGTTAATAATGAACTTAAATTCTTATAAACTTTGCAATTATTTTTCGTGCATTAAATATTATTGCCGATAACAAAATGCAAAGCATTGTATGCGTTATCTAATGTGTTCAATGTACGCTCAGTTGTAACAACTTCCTTTTACAATGTGCATACACATACCTACAAATGTGTTTCAGTGAAAGAGGGAGTTTAACGAGTTCCTTATCTGCTCCGGTCTATTAATGCGACAAGACAGGTGTAATTTATCAAGCGTTTCCACGGGAGCAATTTT